AAATAGTTGTAAGAAAAAACTAATATATATATATATACATGATAAAGTAAATAGCTTCAAAACTATTAATTACATTAATTACTAATAGGCAATTAAAGTCAGCACCATAAAACAATAAAGAACTTAATATATAATAACCATTAAGACGATTTTAGTAAAGAATCCATTGTCAGCCCTAGTTGTCCCCTTAAATTCGTAGCGGATAATGCCTGTGGTAATAGCTCCCAAATGCGTTGGGAATATTCCACCTATCAGACAAAATCCAAACGCTGATGTTAAACTAACCAGCAAACATGGAAAATCAATTAGGGGGGTATGGAGTTGAGTGCTTACACCCACAACGTCTCAACTCCTATTGCCTTTCACTGTCTGCAGCTATTTTGGGGAACAGTTACCACGGGCATTTATCCGCTATGACTTTAACAACTAGGCCAGACAATGGAGTCTCTACTAAAATACTTTTAATGGTTATTATGTATGTAGCCGAACTCCGAATTGTTTAGTGAGCGGTTTATATGTTAATGTATGCTCAACTCCTAAACTTGTGGGTTTTTGAACCCGTTATTCCACTTGTGACTTGGCAAAATCTGAGGATTTCTATATAGCATCGTAAGAATTCGTGTTTGTGAAACAGAATGCACTCTACAGCTCAGATGCAGTTTACCAGTCAAATCAGATCAGATGCACGAATACACAAACAAGGACCAAAGCTGTCTGAACTATACTTCCGTTACTGATGTCAAATACGGCACACATACCTACTCGAAGCCAACTAAGTGCGCGCGTGCATGTTACACATAATTTAACTTTCAGCTTTGTGAACAAAACTGTTATGAATGCGCAAGTGGTTTCAGATTTGGGACGCGAGACTTATTACTTGAACACTACACTCGTAATTAGCTTAAATTACACAAATATGCAAATATAGTTAAAAATCAATAATGTTGCGGGTTCTTTTAAAGTATCTGGTGAAACTAATTCAACGTCCAGTACAACTAAGATAACAAATTAGTTTGTTTCTTCCCTTTACGTTTCAACAAGTTTAAACAATGTGGTTGCTTGTAGACCACGCTAACTGTACTAAACTAACGTAAAAATAAACTTATTTGTAAACTTCACGGCTGATCGATCAAGTAACTGAAAACAAAACAATGACTTATTTACCGCTAGCTGGAATAAAAACACTCCTTGACCGATTCACTTTACTTCTTAGAAACAATTCTGTCTTCTCGATGCTTCACTAAACCTCACATTTATAAAGTACTCGAACTTACAAGTAGTTAACAACTAAATTACAACGTAAAAATATAGCTTATAAAAATTAAAAATGCGAAGACAAAAAGAGAATAAAAGTCGTGGTACAATATGCGTTTCTACTAATGTTCTGGTAGTTGATGGATGACCCATACTCTCAATAACCCAATCAAATGTTGGGCCTAAGCTTAAAATATTTTGTCTATCGAAATGCCAGTTCCGTGTGGTTGTTTTCTAAAGATCAATGGGAGCTAGTTTTTTTGAAGTTCCCACAGTCCGTTTGAATTTCTTTAGCTGTTAATCAACTCAGTGGTCTGTATATTCGTTGAATTCCAAGACGGTTCATTCATTGTTATTATATATTCATAATCTATAAACCTTTAATTATGTTTTTTGTAATTGCTTTTGTATTACACGACAAAGAAATACTTGAGAGTAGTTAAACAACAAGAATCATTACATGCTTCCTTAGTAAACAGACCTATAAAAACAGTAGTTCACACTACCTTTTGTTTCTATAACTCGTTTTAACCCTAACAGATAGAAACCCGATAGAAAGCTAACGGACTTTCGGGGTTCGATTCTTCGCAGTGAAAAGAGCACGACTAACTCATCCTGTAGTTTTGTGCTAAAAACAAACATAGGAACCCATGCCACGATAATATTTCTACGTGATGTTTACAGAATTTACATTGAACAGTTTACCATTGTAAACACAGTACAACAGGGTTTTTCCAACGTACAATAATTCCATTGCATTTCACTCTCCTGTAAAAATCGACACATTGTCTCCATAATGTAAGAAACGTACAAGTTTCTTACCGTTGTTTTCCCACAGAATCGCTTATGATGTGACAATAATACTCACACGCTAAAAGTTTCGCGATAAAACGCTAAAAAACAGTTTACTTGCTTGCCTGTGTTTAACCGCTAAGCTACGCAATGCGCTGTGCTCACCGAGGGTATCAAACCACGATTTTTAGCGTTATAAGCCCTCAGACTTACCCAATCGGAAAAATGGGCATAATTATTTTGCGCGTTTTGTTGAAATACACAGAAGAGGTTAATTTGCATCTCTAAGGTAACGTGGGCTAACTATTTATCGTATTTAGACTAAAAAAAAGTAACACTTAAAAAGTAACACATGGAAAGTGTAAGTTCACTCCTCAATATTTTACAATAAAAATTTGTAAAAAACTTGGACTTTTCTTGTTTACACCAGAAGATTAAGC